TAGTATATCATGGTATATAATAAGGAATTTAATGAATTAATAAGGGCTATATGTTTCGATTTTTAACAAAAAAAGCCAGTTTTTGGAGTTTTCGAGGTTTTTGAACGATGTTTCAAAACTAAAAACAGTGAAAATAAGCGCCTCCTTTTTAGTGAGCATTCTGTAGCTGTTTCCTGTCTACTAATAAACAAAAAGCGTATTATTTTGTAGTTTTTAGTAGTCTTACCAATCGGCCATAAAAAAGTGAAAACCCTCTGAAAAATGTTCAAGAGGAAAGTCCAGTTTTTCAGTTTAAAATTTTTTAAATATTTCTGAATTTGAGCGTAGTTTGCAAAAAAACGCGTGTAAAAACTAGAAGTTTTGACCATTTTCACTCTGCCGGCATGACACATAGGAGACACCGCTAATAGCGGAAACACAGCTGTGAGTGGCCGTTTAGCGGTCACTCACAGCTGTGTCCCCGTTACCGCTGCCCCAGTGCGGTGTCACAGCTGTGTCGAGCATCCCGGAGTGGAATCACAGCTGTGTCGGGCATCCCGGAGCGGAATCACAGCTGTGGCCCGGGACTTAGTCATTTTTCCGGGTCAAAAAATAAAATTTTTGGTAAAATATATGTTTTATATGTCGGAAGTTTTCTCGTGACTGCTTTCGACTCCATTTACTTCGTGTTTTTGATTTAACACTAATTTTGGCCGACAAGGAGACGGTCCCAACCGGACATAAAACTGCGATTTGAGATTGGCACACTTATAGAGCTTGAAGAACTGAACCCGGCAAACTAATTTTTATTAGCATGGAGTGTATATGAACCAATTTATAAGCCTTTGAAATTTTCGCTATACCTTCATAGGCTTCCTCCGCTCCCCGACCGATGTGTCATCGTGGTCTAGTGGATAAGGAGTTAGGCGAAGCGTGGGGCAAAGTAACGAAGGTTCGGATCCGCGCAGGATTTTATTTTTTGCTTTTTGGACCAGAGCTACTATTTAGCATCATAAAGCCCTAGAATAAACCATTTCACCTCCAGGAACGCCTCCAAAACAATAAGCGGCGCGGGGGCACAACGGTGGCACAGCTGTGGCGGGTACACAGCTGTAGCACAGCTGCGGCACAGTTCAATAATCTACAGGTGCCACAACTGTTGTTCCGAGTGGTGTCACCTATGTGTCATGCCGGCAGAGCAGAAATTTTTCTTATATTTTTGACTGAAGCAAGTTTTTCGTTTTTTAATGGCTTTTGCAAGTTATAATCAAGCTATAATAAGTTTGAAATTCACAAAGATAGCCGGGAAATATTCTAAAAATATATTTTTCAAAATTCTTATAGAATAATATATAGAAGTTTATTGATTTTGCCTTTTTTATTAATGATGTTTCAAAACTTTAAAACAGTGCAAATCGGCGCTCCCCTTTTAGTGATCACCCTGTAGCTAGTCGTTTTTTAGTTTTTAACTAATAGTAAAAGACATGGGTTTTTTAGTAGTCGAATTAGTAGTTGAGAAGTTTGAAAATTCTAAAATAAGTAAAAACATTTTAAAATCGAAGTTTTAATCATTTTGAGTCATTTTTTACCTTTTCGAAGGAAAAAAACTGATTGAATTTCATGATTTTGAGCTTTTTAAAAGTCGTTTGAAGCTATAAAAAGGCTAAAATGTTATCAAAAACAGCAGTCAACGGTTATAAAGATATATTTCTCGATATTCTTATACAAATTTGATTATGATTAATTTTTATAGGCTCTTCACGGATACCCCGAATTCGGGCAATTTGCGGTGACGTCTTCGAGCAGCCTCCAAAATCGACGATGAACCCAGAGGGGTCAGTGGCTATGGGAGCAACGCTGCGATGTGCCATGCTCACTCCCCTCCAAAAAGTGCGCGAATTCGAGATCCGCGAGCGGCAACTCTACAAAATATCCATCGTCTACGAGGGCCAAGGAGGAATTCATCTGTAAGTCGGACTCCAGCGTAGGCTAAACTCCAGATACCCCCAGCCGGCCCCCACCTACCGTATCTCAGCTCCCTGTTCATCTACAGTTGTGTAAAGTCTACCAAAATACTCGCCAGAGCAAGACGAACATTTTGGTATACTTTACACACCTGTAGATGAACAGGGAGCCGAGATACAAAAGTTGGGTGCCGGCTGGGGGGGGGGGTTATCTGGAGTCTTACCCCAGCGTATTTTTTTCATCGATTTTTCCTAGAAATTCCTTAGGGCCCGTTATTCAAAAATAAACTGTTTTTTATAGCTTTTAAAAAGCATAAAGAAAAAAAATGATCGTAAAAAACCGTTTAAAATTACGAAAAGTTCAGGAGGTGAAAAGTGATGAAAGACTTTGCCTTCAGTGAAATACCAACTATTTTTAAGGCACTTTACACTGTTTTTAGCTAAAACAGTAAGCTTAAAAATATTTAAAGCTACGAAAAACTCGAAAATTTCATGGTTTTTCGCTTTTTTGGTGCTTTACCTAATAAAGAGATATTAAACCCATAGAAAAATTCTTGATTTGGGTAAAAAAGTGAAACTTTCTTTCTAAAACTTACTTAAAATTTTTCAAAAAAAATTGTCTAAACTTATTTGGATAATAGCAGCTAGAAAAAAGCACTAGAAAAACATATATAAAAAAATGCCCCCCCCCCGCTAACAGGAAAGTACCGTTTTGTTCACAAAATGTCGACATTTTATAATGTCGAAATTTTGTCATGTCGAAATCTCAATCTGTCGAAATATGCGGTGAAAAAATCGTCCGAAAAATCCTCAAGTGTCATGCAAAAAAATGCCGACATTTTGATGATTCCACCCAACAAAATGCCGAATTTTAATTTCGTCATTATAAAATGCGGAGATTATGAAAATTCAATATTGTAAAATGCCGACATCATAAAATTTAGACATTAAAAATGCCGACCTTAAAAGAATTTAAAATTAGAAAATGCCGACATATGAAAATTCGATATTATAAAATTTCGACCTGATGAAATTTCGATGAAAAGACGATGTTTTAAATTTTTTCGTCATTAAAAAAAGGCGAAAGCAGCAGTATTTCAGCGAATCCGTCATCTTCAACGAGGGCGACGAGATCCCATCGACACGCGAGATGTCTTTCCGACGAGGCGACGAGTTCACGGTGCACGCCTTCGGCCATTCGGCGGCATCGAAGGGACCGCAAAAGATTGGAGACTGGGATATCAAGATGCCCACCAATGAACAGCAGAAGGATTATCAGATTTATGGAACGGTAAGGGCTTTTAAAGGAATTGGGAAGGCATATCTATAGATCCAAAAATTACAAAAAAAACCAACGAAACTAAAAAAATGATCAATACAATTGTTTTAGTTCTTTTGCATTATCGGGGGGTATAAGGAACCGGTTTTTAAATATTTTTTATTGTTTTTAAACTGTTTGGTGCTATTCCTAAATGTACAAACTTTACAAATTTTTATTGAAACAATACAAAAAATATCGATGTTTCGACCAAAAATGGCCGTTTTTGACAGAAATTCGATTTTTTGCAAATTTTTCAATTTTCTAGATAGTTTTTCGAGTTAAATATAGTATACAGCAAAGTACTGATATACTGCAATAGCACCATTTATCATTTTTAGATAGTTTTTCTGGTTAAAATACAGTTTTATTTGACTAAAAACATAATGAAAATGTTTCCTATCAGTTATTAGGCATTTCTAGGTTAATAAAAAAATGTTTCCCCGATAATGCGAAAGTGGCATTATTTTTTCTTTTTGATAACTTTGGCTTTAACTCAACGAATATCTCCCCCCGCTAAAAGCAAAGTACCCCATTTTAGCCGCTACACCTCTACGAGACGAAAGTGACGTTCGAGATCGACGCCGATGGGATGTTCCAGGTGCAGAAAGCCGAAATGATGGCTCCGGCTGTCGAGGTTCCGGTAAGCTACCGGATTTTTTAAAGAATTTATTAAAAAAACTAAAAAAGTTATATTATAATTTTAATATACATAATAATCTAAAATATATATATATATAATAATTGTAATATGTAGAAGTTAATTATAATAATTACCTTTTTTCAGCATTTTTTTAGCAACTTCCGCTTTTAGTCGTCTTCACTTACGAATACTCCTCTGATGAATGGAAGCCTGCGACCAGTTCAAAGCGTCGAAGTAGATGAACAAGCCGGCCCGTCGACCTCCAAAAAACCCGTGTTTCTTCCCATCCACCTATCCGTCCAGAACGACTCGCTGGCATTTCCCATTAATGCGTACGGGCAGATTGAGGTGGGAAGTTGATGGTTTAGGTATTTTGGTACTGTACTGTTAATGAGGGGGGGCGAATTTTCGGTTTAGCGTTCTAATTTTCTAGGCTTTTAATTTTAATTAATTAAAAATTAGTTTAATTTTAATGTAGCGTTTTTCCAGGCTAATCTGCTTGCCTTTGACGAGAAGCATCGTGAAAATCAGGATGCGAGAAATGCAGTGGAGGAGTACGTCTATGAGATGCGGGCGAAGCTGAACAGGTCGCTGGGGTCGTGTATTTCCAGTGAGGTAAGCAATTGTCATTAATAAGCTCAATCGCAGTCATGCAAAGAAAAATGCCGACAGCCAAAATACCGACATTAAGAGATTAACTGGAAATTAGAGAGGAATTTTTATGAAATTTTTATTAATTTGGTCTTTTTCATTGTCGGTATTTTTGCTTTGAGCCTTTAGTGTGTCGGTATTTCGGGTCGTCGGCATCTTCAAACCCGGCAGATTCGGCTTGTCGGCATTCTGGATCTCGGCATTTCCTTTTGGAGGAATTCTGACTTTTGAACTTTTTTCTGTCGGCATTCTGGATGTCGGCATTTATGCATTCTGGTTTCCGGAATTTTTCTCGTCCGCATTTCGGCATTCTGTCTGTCGAAATTTTGGCTTGTCGGTGTTTTGGTCGTCGAAAAAGTTAGTGAATTTCAGGAAGTCACCTCGCTACTCCAAGAGCTCAACGAGGCCGAGAAATGGCTATCGGAAGTAGGAGAGGCGGGCGAGACGAACGCGTTCAAGCAACGGTTGGCTGATCTGAGGAAGATTATGAGTCCCGCGCTAGCTAAAAAAGAAGAAAAACAAGCCATTACTCCTCCACCTCCTCTTGATGAGGATTCTTGACTTTTCTGGTTTTATAACGAATTTAATATGTAACTAATTTCTGTAAGAGCCAATTCTGTCATATATATCAACGGTGCTTTCGATTGCGACAATTATATGCGTTTAATTTATTTAGCTCAGGTTTCCTTGTAATTAACTTTTAGTAATTAATTTATTTATTTTCGGCGTTGGCTGTGCCAGATTTTTTCTGATACTCAGTTTTTATAGGTTTTATCGTTTTTATACTGCATATTACCTTTTTCAAAACCGTGAAAAATGTAAAGCTTTTTTTCACAAAAAAAGTAAAGCTTTTGGCCATGAAGTAGATGGTATAATCACACGCAACACAGTTTTTTTGGCGGGGGAAATGAGCGGGGGAGATCAAGGAAAATTGTGGAAAAATTGGAATTAATTATGGTAAAAAGGGTACATATAAAAAATCATGAAAAATAGATGATCCCCGGCTGATGGGCCGGCTGATTTGGGGAGGGGATGAGCTTGTCGAAACTTCGCTGCCTCAGCCTCAACCCGCAGTGGAGGAACAGGAACTCGCAGAGACAGGCCAGGGCCGAGATGCCGAAAACGAACTAAAATTTAATAAATTTAATAGCTACTTTATTGCCCTCATATGCTTACCGCGCCGCGACACGCAACGCGCGCCGCACCGGAATTTCATCGCGTAATGGATAAACGCGTTGCTACTGCTCAAGCGGAGCTTGTGCGTTGCGTATCGCGTGCTTGGAAAATCCATGGGCAATCCTAGCCCAACAGAGTTGAATTTTTGCCGCGACACGCAACGCGCGCCGCACCGGAATTTCATCGCGTAATGGATAAAACCCGCTGAAACTGCTCAAGCGGAACTTGTGCGTTGCGGGTCGTGCGCTTGGAAAATCCATGGGCAATCGTAGCCCACCAGAGTTGGATTTTGCCGCGATACGCGACGCGCGCCGCGCTTGGCATTTCGTTGCGTAACGCATTACAGCTCCCGCGGGCGGTCAAGCCACGCCTACCCGTGGCGTGTCGCGTGCAGGGAAAATGTTTCACACACGCCGCACGCAACGCGTACACGCGAAATTTCAATACGTGGCACAGTTGTTCTTCGAAAAGCGGCCAGGGGGAACGGAAGCGTTGTGTTTCGCGCGCATGACCAAATCTTGACGCACACGCGCCACGAAAGGCCCTGAAACTTCCATTGCGTAATGCATTACGCCATATTGAAACCGCGGCGAGGCGAAGCGTGTGCGTGGCGTGTCGCGACGCTTTCAGCCTCAATCCTACGCATGCCTTAACTTACCGTGGCAGCCACCATCCTGACGTAGTACCAATGGGAGGCCTTTTCAAACTGTTCCGGCGTCGCGTTGTAGGCAAATGGGTGAATCTGGAAAAAAATGTGTTTCGTATCATAGCATCCTTCCCAGTTTCTGCCGAACTTTAATTGCGGTTTGCCTCTGATTTTTTTAACAACCAAAATGACATGGGGCTTAAAGGGACGAGCAAGTCTTGCCTGGACTTTCTAGGCGAAGGATTCTCTATGGATTTCCGCTCCGCGACACGCAACGCACACGCCCCGACTAGTCGCTATTACATGGCGTAATCGATTACGCAATGAAAGCGAGAGCGTGCGCGTTGCGTGTCGCGGCTCGCGGCTCGCGGTAAATCTATAGAAATCCATAGCTTAAAAAAATCGATATTGCCTGGCATAGCTCTTTAAAAAGTGGCCCACGGCCCCACAGCCTTGATTCCTGGCAAATAGCCAGATACGACCGCAACGCGACCGCGCCGCATCATCTTTGGCGCCTGTTTCGACGTGAAAACGCTCGAATTTCAAAATTGTGACGCTATTGCCGGAACCCTCATCCAATTTTGATCATTATGGGCTTTTTAATTATAAAAATTGGCCAGAGAATCGCCGAGATCGAGCGATTGGGTGTCTTACAAGGCATTACGACATGTAATTACCGCGAATTTTGACTTCCGAGCTCCTTTAAAATCTCAAAAAGCGCCATTTTTTCACCTCGAAAGCCGTTTGCAAGGACTTGAAGCAGCAGACAGCTCCACCGAGACATGTGCCAAGCAGGGAGAGACCGTGCTGAATTTTGAAATTAAATTAAAAGTATATTTTAAATCGTATTAAAGTGGAATTCCCAAATAATCTCTGCTAGCTTACCAAAAACCCGAGCAAGCATTCATATTTCCTGGCGGTGTCGATGAGGGGCTGCGAGGCTTGCGAGAAAAATAGCGAACAGAAGGAGACGATCAGCAGCTGCGTGGCCGTGATACAGTACACCCACCATAGGCTCTCGTCGATCAGCACGCGCTGGAAAAGGTGGAAGTTTTTTACCCACTTCAAAAATTTTTAGCCTTTAAAATAGTTTTAATAAATGATAAACTGGAAGCTACCTCTAATAAAACAGATCCTAGGCCGAACACGTCCTAATTTATTCAAACATCATTTTTTTCCAAAAAAGCCCTCGTCCTAACATCTTTTTCCTCCTTAAAAATGGATTCTTCTTCTTCTTCATTCTTCTACATCTCAAAAACCTTTCAAAAATAGTAGCCCGGATTTTTAAAAAATATCAATATTTCCAAGAGAAAAATATTTCATGGCTTTCGGTAGATGGACAGTTGCAACCCCGACGGCGGTTACCCCATTAACGATGAATTCCAAATGAATCCCTCGTAATTTTTTGAAATATTGATTTTTCTGATTGAGGCTACCAGTGGTAAAATATGTTCTCTCCCTATCTATCTCTTCTCTCTCTCTCTCTCTCTCTCTCTCTCTCTCTCTCGCTTATCCACACACTTGACCTTCCGGCAAATTTTGGAACAAGAACCTTCGCGGTACTAATTTTTTATGTAGCTGTGTAAAAAACGCCAGATGGTCTTTATGTCAGCGCCGTAGTCGAAATTATTTTCGACGAAGTGACAAAGATGGTCGCAGACCTTTGAAAGATTCTTTTTCTACTCCTTTTCAAAAGGTCTAAAAAGCGCGTCAAAGTTTTAGTCCACATGTTTTGTAAGCTTCAAACTAAAATTTTAGAAATTGTAGATTTAAAACTAAATTTAAACTTTAAATTTTACAACCGCCTTTTCCGGAATCGTGTAATAGAATTGACACTTTGGCACATTTTAGGAAACGTCTGCCGATCCGCAATTAATTTTTTATAGCGCTCTACAGTATGGGACATTTTTGAAATATCGATTTTTCATGACAAAAAATTTTAAATTTCAAATTGTATATTTTGTAAAGATACGCAGCGCGGCCCTGACGCAGTGACTGAAATAGCAAGGAATCCGACGCATAGAGCATAACAAGTTGGTTAGATATTTGTCGTCAATGCAAAATTCACATTGCATTTGTTTTCAGAAATGACATAATGGTAATATTTTGAAACATCATTTTTCTACTCTTCTAAAGAGGTTTATAGTTTTAGCCACCTTTTCCGGCAGCGTGCAGACTAAACGCTTGTAACTTCTAACTAGCGGCATAATTTTTAATTTCTAATTACAATTTTATCGCAGAGAAAAACAGTGGCGCGTTTCCAAAACATTAATAGGCGCTAAAAATTTTGTATAATATGTACAACACCTGAGAAACTGTTATTCACTGCTGGTCGCAGCCGAAACGGTGTCACTTTTTTGAAACATTGATTGTTCACGGCAAAAATTCTCTCTCGCTCTCTCTCTCTCTCTCTCTTTCTCTCTCTCTGTGACTCTCCCTCTTGCTCTCTCTCCTTTCTCTCTCTCTCTCTCTCTCTCTCTCTCTCTCTCTCTCTGACACTCACTCTCTTTCTCTCTCGTCTCTCTCTCTCTCTCTCTCTCTCTCTCTCTCCGCAAACCACCTTGCATACTAGATGTCTTTCAAAAGTCCGACGCAAACAGAATTAAATTTTTACTGCTGCCCGGATGCTACTAAATTTTTTGAAACATCATTTTTCTACGCTTCTGAAGAGGTTTATACTTTTAACCACCTTTTCCGGCAGCGTATAATACATCCGGTTCGAAACGATAAAATCGAAAATCGAGCTCGTCAAGCACAGACCGGCGATGGCGAGAACCTAAAAATGGGAATTCGATTTTTAGCTTCCTGAACGCTTTAAAGCGCCGGACAAGGCTTGCCATAGATTTTTGTGGCTATGGATATCTTATAAATTTTGCCTTGCTTGTCCCTTTAAAACCACGAATTAAATCCTCACCATTAAAATGAAGTGGACGACGCGGAGGACGGAAACGGAGTCCATTTCCGGATTAGGATTTGGTTTAGCACCTGAATTAGATGGGGTTTACGATAAGGCATATCCTGAGAGAGAGAGAGAGAGAGAGCGAGAGAGAGAGAGAAAGCGAGAGAGAGCGAGAGAGAGCGATAGCAATAAAATCCAAGCTTTTAGGGGTGTTAGGGCAGATGCACCTGGCCCCTCGGGCTAGACCGTATCCATGGTAATGAGTGTTGTCCGGAGGCCTCCTTCCGGTCGGGGGTCTATTTTTAAAGGGGCCGGCAAATAAAGAGGTATGCGAAACGCATGAAAACCAAGTAATTATCATAAAAAATCGGAGTTTCAACCCCAAGAAGAGCTATGGAAGCATTTTTAACCTTAATTTCATGTTCGTATTTTTGACCCCCTCGTTTTCATGGCTATCGGGTCATTAAAGAGTATGCAAAATTAATTTAAAAATGATAAAAATAAGGTAAAAATTGGATAACACGCGGTTTCTATAAAAATGCGTTTAGAAGCTGATTTCTAACGATGTGATAATCTTTTAATATCGACAAGCTCCTTAAAAATGATTGGAACGTTTTTAATGCGAACATTTTCAAAGCACAAAACGTGCTAAGATTATTTAAAAATTACCTTAAGCCTAAAAATAAACAATTGAATATTAAATCGGTTGCCGTTTAAAATAAACAAAAACAATTTAAAGCCAAAAAATATGAAATTTAGGGTAGGAAACATGGGATTACGGCAGGTAAAATAGGTTAGGTAAAATAGGCAATGAAAAGGTTGCGAATTATAAACCAGCGCTTTGTACAAGAAAGTGCGAGAAAAATCCACTTTCCGAAACCCAAAATTTACCTAACATATTTTTTTAACCGACAACTTTTCGAAAATCATAGCCTTTTTTGGATATTCATATTTTCATAGCCTTACAACCAATTAAAAAAGATGATAAATACGATATAAAAATTGATCGGCTGCTTAAAATTCAGAAAAATGCAGTTTCAACAGAAAATTCGTTGAAAGACTGATTTCCAAAGACCAAAAAAAAAACATTAAACACGTTTTTTAAAGTGACTTTAAGCATGAAATTGAATCATACTTTTTATAAAATTGCGATTTTCATGGCATGCATGTGTGTGCAAATAATGGGGGCTTGTTGCCCCCCGATGCGCCCGAAAAATCGATATTTACCCCAAAAACGGTTCCGCAAAAATTATTGGCACGGTAAAAAGCCGGGGTTTAAATTTCCATAGAAAAAAATGTGAGAATGGAAGCAGTGAAAAAAGAAGAACGGCGCTAGAAAGCAGCTGGCAGCAGAAGACTAAATATTTTCCCGGCCTGAAAAATGTCTGTTTGATGAAACTGGGGGGAGGGAAAAGCCGTGAAAAAAAGAGAAGCTAGAGACTGAACTTTGTTGTGTTCAGGTTCTTCGGTGAGCGTTCCTCAAAAAATCTATGCTGGCCTGCCCACGCTATGTCTTTCTGTCTCTCTCTCTCTCTCTCTCTCTCTCTCTCTCTCTCTCTTTCCCCCCCCCCCCCCCCCTCTAAAACGCAAAAATGTTTCATTAGATGGTAGACTTCCGGTCAAAGTTTTCAACTTAATGCACACGTCGTCGTCAATTGTAAAATTTTTCAATCCTAATTTTTCATTTATTAATTGTCGTTAAAAGTAAAACAATACAAAATTTCTATTTTTCTTTTTTTGACAGCTAAATTTTTCCTGTCCACTTCGCTGGGGATCGGGGTCAATCCGAAGAGGAGCTGGTACCTTTCTCTCGCTCTCTCACGCTCTCTCTCTCACTCTCTCCTATCGCTCTCATTCTCTCGCTTTCTCTCTCCCCTCTCTCGCTCTCTCTCTATCTCTCTCCTCTCTCCTCTCTCATTCTCTCTCGCTTTCTCTCTCTCTCTCTCTCTCTCTCTCTCTCTCTCTCTCGCTCCCAGCATTCCTCAAAGTATCTCTACTAGCCTAATTCTTGGGATTAGATAGGCCGTCGACTAGCATTAAAACGCTTTGAATGGTCTAAAAAGCCCTTATCGGCGAAACATTAATTTTTATAGCGTATCGACTAGATTTTATAGGGCTACTTTTTATCCCAGGGACCAGTTTCTCAACTATAAAATAGAAGAAGCCTTTCTAAACTATTGCTATCCGTTTCTTAAAGCCATAAACTTTACAAATTTTTATTGAAGAAACATAAATATCTTGATTTCGACGAAAAATCACCGATTGTCGATCGGCAGTTCAAAATGTCGCTGTTTTTTAGATTTTTTCCACTTGCTAAATTTTATAAAACTTTTTTTTATACTTAGAAAAGCTATAAGAAAGTTGTAGGAAGAATTAGGGACGTAGCAAGTTTCCCCCATTATCACGAGTTGAACGCTCTAAAAACCGCCCAGAAACGAAACTTTCAATTTTTATGGCGTTAAAATCGGGAAGTTCGAGAGATTTATTGATGCTAGAGGCCAATCCAGAAGAAGGTTCTTTGGCATTATTGGGGGGGGGGGGCTTTTTGTTCTTAGGATCCTTTTAAAAAGATTACAAATTCTTTGAAAAAACACTAAACATCGATTAACGACCACTGGGAAAATTTACCGGCTTTAAGACTATGAAACATTTTATTTTTTTATAGCTCAAAAATTGGAAGGCTAGAGAAATTTGTAGAAGCCAATTTAATTTTAAATGTTTTAATTCCTATTTACTTTGGTTAAAAGTTTAATTTTTATACCGGTTGAATTGAAAAGTAAGAGAAATCTACATAAGCCAAAGGTCAATCCAGAAGGGTGCTTCGTTATGGGGGGCACAGGGAGAGATTCGGTAGGTCCTTGGTGGGGGCAGCCGGTAAATAAATAGGTAGAGGTGAAAGGGTGGGTGTTTGGTACTCTCTCTCTCTCTCTCTCTGTATCTCTCTCTCTCCCTCTCTCTCTCGCTCTCTAGCCCCAGGGCACACCAATGCCAAATATTTGTGCCCCCGGAGGAGGTACGGGCCTCTACTGTGGTACTCAGTGGTACCACTGGGGCTCTAGGAATTGGCTAGATGAAAGCCGGGAGGCAGGCTAGCAGAGATCATTTGGGATGAGAGAGAGGGGGGGGGGGCAGGCTAGCAGAGATCATTTGGGATGAGAGAGAGGGGGAGGGGGCAGGCTAGCAGAGATCATTTGGGATGAGAGAGAGGGGAGGGGGCAGGCTAGCAGAGATCATTTGGGATGAGAGAGAGGGGGAGGGGGGCAGGCTAGCAGAGATCATTTGGGATGAGAGAGAGGGGGAGGGGGCAGGCTAGCAGAGATCATTTGGGATGAGAGAGAGGGGGAGGGGGCAGGCTAGCAGAGATCATTTGGGATCAGAGGAGAGGGGAGGGGACAGGCTAGCAGAGATCATTTGGGATGAGAGAGAGGGGGAGGGGGCAGGCTAGCAGAGATCATTTGGGATGAGAGAGAGGGGGAGGGGGCAGGCTAGCAGAGATCATTTGGGATCAGAGAGAGGGGGAGGGGGCAGGCTAGCAGAGATCATTTGGGATCAGAGAGAGGGGGAGGGGACAGGCTAGCAGAGATCATTTGGGATGAGAGAGAGGGGGAAGGGGCAGGCTAGCAGAGACTCTTTGAGAAAATGAATACCAGAAAAACCAAAAGATATTTCTGTCAACGTTGCTGACCCGTAGCCATGGATGGGGGGCTTAGCGGGGTTAATTGCTAGACCGGCTGGGCTTCCTAGAGGATAATCCGCAGAAATCTACCCGAGAGAGAGAGAGAGAGAGAGAGAGAGAGAGAGAGAGAAAGACAGAAGAGCGATAAACCTCCAAAACCATCTTAGCGCAATTTGAATAGATTTTAGTTTTCAATTTCCATAAGTTCTTGAATGAATCCGATGCTTTTTATTCAAGCCTAATTTTTTTGTATCCATAACTCTCCCAAATGAATCGACAGCTCTGCTTTTTGCTGATTTTTGCTAGCGTCAGCGCCGCCGTTAATAACGTACGGCTCGGCTTAGGCTTGGCATGCTTTAACTTCACCATCATCTTCCCTTTTTTCAGGCCATCACCTGTGACGTCACCTCCAAACCCTGGCACCCCGACCACGGCGGATGCATCGAGGTTAAGCGTGAGATAGACATCGGAGACTCGGGCATCGCCTTCCACGAGAACGTCACCGACAAGGATGGCGGGTGGACATACGTCACCTACGGTCAGTATTAGCCCGTGCTCAGCCACTCACAAATTTCAGCTTGCCGTGAATCGCCGATGCCGGATGCGGTGATCTTTTGCGGTGGGCCACCAGCGCCGCCGAGGCGAGCCATCCCGAAGACGCCCGGCTGCTGGTCGATGACGTTGAGGGATGACCCTCAACATTCCGCTGTATGCGGTGAGCGAGGCATAAGCTTAAGCTTAAGCTTAAGCCTAAGCCTAAGCCTAAGCCTAAGCCTAAGCCTAAGCCTAAGCCTAAGCCTAAGCCTAAGCCTAAGCCTAAGCCTAAGCCTAAGCCTAAGCCTAAGCCTGAGCCTAAGCCTAAGCCTAAGCCTAAGCCTAAGCCTAAGCCTAAGCCTAAACCCTTTCAGACGTCGTGATGAAGGAGGTTAGGGAGGTACTAAAAGCGCCGATGAGCCCCAGCCTGAAGATGTTGTTGGAGTACTACGATAAGGAGGTAATGGAGCTAAAGGTATTCGCCATACGTTTTTTAGGAAGCTCTGCCCCTGGGCTATCGTCGTGTCTTCAACAGGCCGGCAGATTTTGATCATCCGGTAGGCTTAGGCGTAGGCGTAGCTTGGCTTAGGCTTGGCTTAGGCTTGGCTTAGGCTTGGCTTAGGCTTGGCTTAGGCTTGTCTTAGGCTTGGCTTAGGCTTGGCTTAAGCTGGGCTTAGGCTTGGCTTAGGCTTGGCTTAGGCTTGGCTTAGGCTTGGCTTAGGCTTGGCTTAGGCTTGGCTTAGGCTTGGCTTAGGCTTGGCTTAGGCTTGGCTTTGGCTTAGGCTTGGTTTGGCTTTGCTTAGGTATGTACCTAGGCTTGCGCTTAGACTTATGTCGCTTCTTCTAGGAGCTGTGGACGACGACCACGACCACTACGACGCCAACCACGACTAGAGCCGTGTTCACCTACCCGCCCGACCGGACCCTGGACCCCGTTTATCCGGGCATTCCTGACGATGAGGATGAAGAAAAGGATGGTGTGGATATGTGGGTTAAGTTGATTTAAGCTAAGGCTAAGCCAAGCCTAAGCTCAAGCTCACTTCTTCCAGGAGCCTCGTCGGAACTCTGTTGGCCGTCTGCCTCGGCTTGTTGCTGTGCTGTTGTATGATCTTCTGCATCTGCAAGTGTTGCTGGGTTCGTGGGCGTCGTGAAGGTACGTTTAAGCCTAAGCCCAAGCCAAGCCTAAGCCAAGCCTAAGCCAAGCCTAAGCCAAGCTTAAGCCAAGCCTAAGCCAAGCCTAAGCCGAGCCTTAGCCAAGCCTAAGCCAAGCCTAAGCCAAGCCTAAGCCAAGCCTAAGCCAAGCCTAAGCCAAGCCTAAGCCAGGCCTAAGCCAAGCCTGAAATTCCGATACTTTCCAGAAGCCGACGACGGTCCGCAGGCGTGGCGTCCGCAGGGCCAGAGCGGCACCTCCAGCTATCCAAGACAGCAGCAGCCGCCGATGATGCAGCAGCAGCCTCCGATGGCGTACCCGGTGCCCAACCCACACGATGAGGGATCTGATGAAGTGAACGTCATCGGGCGTACCTAAAAAAATGCGATACGATACGCTACGCTAGGACATCCCGTTCGATATTCGATTTGTTCTATTTGTGATGATGTTCACATTGCATTGTCCCCCAATTTTATCCCTTGTAGCTTGACAAGGTGGAATAAATGATTTTTCCAGAATATTACCTCCGAGTGTTCCCGACATTAGCAAATACGGATGCTCCAGAGTCCCGTGACCTGACGAAACACGTAATTTTGCCAGGGTACGGTACTTGCTGGATTACGCTACTTTCCGGGTTACGGTCTCTGAGCCTTCAAAAGAAAGTGGCGTACCGCCTAAAACTTGGCTACGTGTCCGATTACAGTACCCAAATTCCAGTTTATGGTACCCGGTCCTTCGTAGTAAGGCCAGAATTACGTTCGAAAATACTGTACCATCCGGCATACGTTAATTTGGGGTACTGTACTGTTTGGGAGTACGCTACTTTCCGAGTTACGGTCTCTCATTCAGCAAAAAAATCATGTTCCGTTTAAAATCGAACCACTATCCGTATACGGGACTTTCTCGTTTACAGTGTTCTCAGGTCAACACGGATTACTGTAATTTTCCGAAACATGTTTATTACGGGAAAGATGAATTGCAGATTTTCGAGAAATTCCCTGACTTTCCGGCTTACGGTATATTTCGAATAACGGTATGATCGGGAATACGGTAATTTTCAGAGTACGGTACTTGCCTGGGCGGAAATTTAAAATTCAGCATTTAGTTTCACAAAATTAGCATACGAAAAATGACGCACATCCGAAATAAGGCGAAATCTGGCCCCATTTTTCTACGTTCTCTTACAAGGTGGGTGGCTGGTTTAACGTTTTTTTTGGCTAAAATGCTAATTCTTAAAATATTGAAATTCAAGATCGTTGAAATTTTTTCAAAAAAAAAAAACGTGTTTCACTAAATCCTGAAGTTGGCAAATTTTTGTTCGTTTTAATTGACGCCATTCCTTTGTCTCCACTTTTGTGTTTCTTAGTGCGCACAAAAAATTCCCGAATTTTCGAAGTGTTTTCGAGGAAAAAATGGTGGTAAGACTCCAGATACCCCCCCCCCCCCAGCCGGCACCCAACTTTTGTATCTCGGCTCCCTGTTCATCTACAGGTGTGTAAAGTATACCAAAATGTTCGTCTTGCTGTGGCGAGTATTTTGGTATACTTTACACACCTGTAGATAAACAGGGAACCGAGATACGGTAGGTGGGGTCGGCTGGGGGGGGGGGGGTTATCTGGAGTTTAGCCTGTCGTTTTAATGGTGCGAGATTATTTCCTGAACAATTGAAAGATTCTGATAGTTTTAGAAAATTTAAATTTTGGTTTTTCAGAAATAAATCCTTGGTACTTGTTCGTACTTACATCGTTGGTATTCGAAACTTGCGCAATTGGCCCCGGGAAGACGGATCGATAGTAGAAGAAGAAACACAAGATGGACTGGGTGAAGGGGCTGCTCGGCATCAGAACCCTCAAAAAGGTATGCATTTTTGGCTTGCCGGTACCTTTAAAATGGCGGCTAGCCTGGAATCTTGAGGAAAACTTGATGGCAGCTAGCAGAGATCATTTTTCTCTTTTCCAGGGCACCAAAATCTGGTCGGCCACCACGCCGTACGTCATCGAGAAGCTGCTCGGCGAGGGCGGCTTCGGGGCCGTTTATAAGGTTTGCAGATTGTAGCCTGGAGCGTGCAATCTTGTAGTTTGTAGTTCGAATAAATTTATAGTTTGCTAGGCTGTAGTGTCCATGAGACTCTGTAGTAATTCTGTATTCTGTATTTTTATAGTTTAATCGAAATTCTTTAGTTTGTAGTGTCGGCCAAAAACTGTAGTTTGTAGCCCACAGCCAGAGCCATCGCCCGGCTTGTAGCCTGTAGTTTGCCATTAGTTTTTCATTTTGTGCTCTAGATCCTCGTTTTTCTCCCCCTTAGGTTCACGTCGCCGGCGACCCGTCCCTCACTTACGCCATGAAAATCGAGCAGCGCCGTCGGCCCGGGAAGGAGCTGAAGCTGAAGATGGAGGTCGGAAATTGTTGTAGTTCGTAGTTTGTAGCTTCTAGTAGTTTGTAGCCTAAGATAATTACTTTGTTTTTCAGCTGAAAATCCTCCTCGCTGCGGGCGATAGTGACCGTCGCTGCCTCCACTTTACCAAACTCATCGACCGGGGCAGCCGACCGGAATTCGTCTTTATGGTAGTCTATCGTTCTCTCTCTCTCTCGCTCTCTCTCTCTCTTTCTCTCTCTCTCTTCCTCTCTTTAGCTCTCTCTCTGTCTCTCTCGCTACCTCTCTCTCGCTCTCTCTCTCGCTCGCTCTCACTCTCTCGCTTTCTCTCTCTTTTTCTCTCTATCTCTCGCTCTCTCTATCTCTCGCTCGCTCTCACTCTCTCTCTCTTTCTGGCCCTCGACTACCTCGCCCATTTCCTCAAAGAATCTCCACTAGCCTGCCCCCTTTCCAGGTAATGGAACTCGTCGGCAAGTCGGTGAAGGACGTGCAGCGTGAGCGTCGCGGCAAGGTGTTCACCATCTCCACGGCCTGCCAAGTCGCCGAGCAGACGCTTGAAGCCCTCGAAGACATGCATGCACTCGGATATATCCATCGGTGGGGAGGGGCAGGCTAGCGGAGATCATTCCTCTTTTCCAGCGACATCAAGCCGTCCAACCTGACGATCGGCGTCGGCGCCAAGCGCCACATTGTCTACCTGCTCGACTTTGGCATCTCGAGAAAGATTCGGAATGAGGACGGAGAGATTAAGGTGGTGTCCCGGTCCCTTTAAAGTGACCGTACTCCTTCCAGTTGCCCCGCTGGAAGTGCACGTTTAAAGGGACGGTGAAGTACGCGTCGCTGGCATGCCACACGCTGCGCGAGCAGAGCGGCAAGGACGACCTGGAGTGCTGGGTGTATCTGTTTGCCGAGTTTGTGCATCCTGGAGGTGGGTACAGGGCAAGACAGCGGGGTTTCTTTGCGGAATTTGGTTTCCTCAAGAATCCCTGCTAGGTTCCCTGTTCTTCTTCTTCAGGACTCCCGTGGCGCAACATGGACAACACGAAGGAGGTGTACCGCGAGAAGCGCAAGGCCCACGAACGCCCCCGCGACCTGTTCACCGGATTCTCCAGGCCTGAGGTTGGGTTTTCTAGCTGTCTCAGTCCCCTTAGTACATGGTGGCCGTGCTGGAGTACATCGACGAGCTGAGCTACGTGCAGCAGATTGACTACGGATACTTGCGCCAGGCCGTTGAACTGGTAGCGCTTAAAATTCCCCAAATGATCTCTGCTAGCCTGCCCCCTCCCCCTCTCTCTCATCTCAAATGATCTCTGCTAGCCTGCCCCCCCCCCCTCTCTCTCATCCCAAATGATCTCTGCTAGCCTGCCCCCTCCCCCTCTCTCTCATCCAAAATGATCTCTGCTAGCCTGCCCCCTCCCCCTCTCTCTCATCCCAAATGATCTCTGCTAGCCTGCCACCCCGATTTTCAGACCTGTCGCTTCAACGATGGCTCAATGTCTGCCCCTCTCGACTGGGTGCAGCGTCACTCCCCGGTCACGCCCGAGCAGTCGCGCTTGGTATGGGATTTTTTTGGCTTCAACACCCCTTTAATGTCGCTTGAATGCCCTTAATCGAACGTTTTCCAGTCGGTGCGCCAGGACGCGACCAGCTCGCGCTACGGCGACGGCTATCGGCCAAAGGTAATTTCCGATTTTTTTCAAGAAAATCAGGTCTGCGTTAATTTTTTAAATCTATGCTTAGAAAATAATGTAGATGAACGTAATTTCCATTTACCTATCTGCAGATTTGCGGTTTCAAAAATTGGCAAAAATTGGAAAATCGTGGAAACGTGTTTCATTTAATGGTAAAGATAAGGTGACATTTCTCAGGCTAATAGACGAAATTTTTTCTCAAAACAAACCCGAAGTTAATTGCGTGGAATCAACTATTGATTAAAATTAAATCAGTTAAATGAACGCAGAAATTGCGCTTAAAGACAAAAATGTTTCATTCAATCTGCAAGTTGCCGCAAAAATGGTTCGCATTAGTGCGCCTTCGGTTAATTCGAGTAATTAAAGTGGCTGATTATAAATGCTAGTTTCATTGCATGAAATCGACTCTTACCTGAAAAAAATTAATTAAATCATCGCCGCGAAAATCTTTCGTGAGAAAAAATATGCTTCATTTAATGGCAAAGTTGCGGTAGGATTTTTCAAATTAGTGCGCCTTCGGTAGTGCTCCGACAATTATAATACACTTTTGATTTCGTTTTTATTAATTAAAAACAATAGGGTAATTATAAGGTAATGTAAATTTAAGTTTTTAAAGTGTTTTCGTGCCAGCTTGCCCCAAAAAAAAAATTGAAAATTCAACTTTTTATTTGCTGTCCTGCATTAAAATTTTTCCAGTCCACCATCGGCTCGCTGGGGATCGGGCTCAATCCGAAGAGGAGCAGGTATCTCTCTCTCTCGCGCTCTCGCTCTCTCTCGCTCTCCCTCACTCTTTGCCACTCTCTGCCTCTCTCACTCTCTCTCGCCCTCTTCCCCCTCTCTCTCTCTCTCTCTATCTCTCTCTCTCTCTCTCTCTCTCTCTCTCTCTCTCTCGCTCACTCTTTCTCCCCAGAAAAACGACTCGTTTAGTCAAGACCGCTCATCGGAGGAGGAGCGCCACTCTTCTGCGGTTGCTGTGTCGGCAGCGGGCGGCGTCGCGGCGACGCGGACCACGACGCAGGGGAGCAGCCGCGTCGCGGGTCCTCCGAGCAGCAGCGGCGCATCATCGGGCCGTCAACAACAGCAGGGACAGCCGCAGCAGCAGCCACAGCGCCCGCCGAGGAGGAGGAGCAGCAGCAGCCGGGGAATGACTCGGTCGTCCACCATCCACGCCATTAGCCGGGTATGCTTGTCCTCAAGCATCTCTGCTAGCTTGCCTCTGGAAATCAGCGACGTCTTTTAAAGGGAGCGTGACATCCTGGTGATCATTTTTCTCCCCAAAAATCTCTGCTAGCTTGCCTTTGAAAATCGATAGAAACATTTTTAAGGGGGCGTGACACCTAGAGGCAGACGCTTCTCCCCAAAAATCTCTGCTTGCTTGCCGAGGCAGACTGTTTATCAGTTTTAAAGGCGCAGTGACACCTAGGGAAAACCAGATTTTCTCCTCAAAAATCGCTGCTAGCTCGCCCTCAAAATTCTCAAAGATTCTATGTGGAATTTTCAGGACCGCCACCCGTGCACGCGCAAACTCGTCGACTCGGATTGAAGAAATAAACCATCATTTTCTCTCGCCGTCTCTCTTTTCTCTCGTTTTTTAGCTATCTCTCGCTGGCTCCTTGTCTCTCTTTATCACTCGCTTTTTATGTACGCGCCGTGTGATTTTTGGAATAAATATGTTTTTAATATATTTTTTACATTACATGGAAAAGCTTAAAAGGAGCAGAAATTCCGAATTTGCGAAAAATAAAAGATATTTTAGGGGTTTTTCTTGGCGAGTTAGAATAAACCCTAAAGATAAAAAATTAAGAAATCCAAAATTTTCCAGTAGCGTGTAGAAGTTGAATCATTTTTTTTGTTGGGCCTGATCGTAATGAGAATTTGCCGAATAAGAAGGTAAAAAAAATCGGGGTTTCAAAAATCTAATTAAGCGACCGCTTCTCGGGCAAAGTATTCATCTTCCTTGTCAAATCTCAATAAATATTAAAATCGAAGAATTTTAATGGTTTTCGAATTGGGTAGTAAAAGGATTTTCGCTACGTTAAAACGGAGGCGAGGTACATCTCGGTGACGGTAGGTCAAGCGACCAAGAGCTCCTAATTACGCATAAAGGTTGGCCATAAACTGACGGGTTCTTCTTTTTTATCTTTCGTTTCTTTTCTTTTTCTCTTTTCGTCAAGGAAAACTAAAAAATTCTATTCTTTCAGATGGCGCTAAGAAGTTGTATCATTTTTTCGCCGGGTTGTGTGGAAATACGTTTTAGGAACTGGCATGGCAAAAAAATGTGTTTCGTAAATCGGTCTAAGCTACTCAAATCTCTGCCAAATGATCGGTCGCTATGCCTAGGTTTTGCCGACGCTCAATAAACATGAAAATCGAAAAATCCTATAGATTTTTGGGTTGGGTAGTAAGAGGGTTTACGCTGCGTTAAATTGGTGACGTCAGGTACATCTCGGGGACTCTAGGTCACGCGACCAAGAGCCCTTATTTACGCGGAACTATTGGCCAGATATTGCGATTTTTCACGACTGGTTAAAACAGAGACATTAACAAATGAAAATCCTTTTAGTAGCGCTAAAAAGTTGTATCATTTTTTTCTTCGGGCTGTTTGCAAGCACGCTTTAGGTAACCAGACCGTGAAAATTTATATTTCAAAAATTAAATAACCGATTTCTTTGTGAAAATAGATATTACATCTCCATGATTCGCTCGATCTAGGGTTTGTAGTTTTCAATACTATTAAAACCGAAAACTCTAAATTTTTGTGTTGTTGTGGAAATGTGTTGGGCGGAAAAAGATCCTATGCGAAATTAAGCAAACCAAAGATTACTGGTAGCGCTTAAAGGCGAAACTTTTTTTCTGGCGCCCGGTTTAATGCGAAACGAGAGCGCGAAAAAATTGTGTTTTAAAAAATGAAAACATTTACTGTGCAAGAATAATAAGAAGGACCACAAAAAACGACACAAAAACGTGACGCTTCGGTGGCGCTAGACTATGCCTATTTTTAGTTAAACAAAATCGTGTTTCAATCACTTACAATCTCAGATTGGCCTTTGAGAACTTATTAATTTATTAAAACCACGTTAGAAGAAGAAAGGAACAGAATAATAAAAACTAAAGAAAAAATAACAAACTTACCTTCCAAGAAAAATTATAAAGAAAACAAGAGAAAAAATTAAAAGCCCGATGCGCTAAGTCGTTGACGCTAGAAATATTCTGTCATTTTAATGAAAAAAAATCATGTTTCGATAATTTACAATATCAGACAAGTTTTGTAAAAATTTTTAGATCGGAAAGCCTTGATGCCTATTACTTCATCACTTCTCCCATTTGCACAAATATTTCTGTTCTTAAAATGGTTTTCCGTTTAGATACTTCAACCGGTCGAGGGCTAGCTAGCAGAGGTCGTTTGTGGAATTTTGTAGATTTTTAGCGCAAGTATGTTTCAATGATTTCCATTGTCAAAACTATTTTTAAAAAGCCATAACTCCGCTGTTGTTCGCGTCAAAATCGTCTGCATTATGTATTTTCGAATTTACCTGAAAGTTTCCGTTTTTTAGAACCTGCCCTTTCGTTCAGATATAGCTAGCAGAGATTCTAGTGGAATTTTATTTTTTTTAGAAAAAGTATGTTTCAATGATTTACATTGACAGCTTAGTTCAAAAAAAAACATTCGACCGGCTGTAGCGACTGAAAAATGCTTTGCCACTTCATGCATTATGTATTTACAAATTTACCTAATTTATTCGGTTTTTAAGGGCCTTATTATACATGCGGTCAAAGCTAAAGCTAGCTCAGGCAAGGGCTGGCTAGCAGAGATTTTTTGTGGAATTTGTTATTTTATGGAGGACATTATGTTTCAATTCATGATATTGATAAACCAACTTTTCAAATTATTCAATGCCTTGCTTCTTACAAATTCCTCGAATTTATCTCAATTTTGCAGCTTTTTTGATGGCACCTGGTGTTTTTCCGGTCTAAATATTCAAAAAACAAAAGAAAAAGAAAGAGAGTCGAATTTCGGCCGGTTTTTAAATTTAGCGTGCGGAAATTGTGTGTTCTTAATAAAAAGTACGTTTCAATTATTTCGATGATCAGCTGGGTTTCTGGAATGCTAATAGCAGCTGTTCATGAATCGGCCCTATAGCATGATGCTTGATGCGTATCCCTTCTCCGATTTACATAAATGTTGCTGTTTTTAAAAATCCACTTTTTCCATTTGGATATTTTGACCGGCCGGGGGCTAGCTAGCAGAGATTGCTCGTGGAATTTTGTGGAGTATAGCGACCGTATGTTTCAATGATTTCCCTTGTCGAAACGGTTTTTTAAAGTTCATTAGGGTGTTTGTTATGTTTGGGTGCGAAAATCGTTTGCTGCTTGATGTCTCGTGTATTTTCGAATTTACCTAAATGAACCTGACGTTTCGTTTAGATTTAGCTAGCAGAGATTGTTTGTGGATTTGTAGATTTTTTGAGCAAGAGTATGTTTCAATGATTCCCATTATAAAAACAAAACAACTAATTCGTTTGTAGGTTTGACTCGAAGTTATGCATTGTGTATTTTCGGATCTACCTAAAAATATCTCAGTTTTTAAGAATCTTACTCTCCGTTTATATAATTAAAGCTAGCTAGCAGAGTTTTTTGCGGAATTTAAAATTTTTTAGAAAAAGTATGTTTCAATGATTCACATTGTCAAAACAATGTTTAGAAAATAATTCGTTTGAAGATTTGACTGGAAATTATGCATTGTGTATTTTCGGATCTACCTAAAAATATCTCAGTTTTTAAAAATCTTACTCTCCGTCTATTTTATATAATTAAAGCTAGCTAGCAGAGTTTTTGTGGATTTTTAATTTTTTTAGAAAAGTAGGTTTCAATTATTCACATTGTCCCCGCAGTTTTGAAACCGCCAATTGTTGCAGGCTCATTAATCCTTTACGCTTGATCTCATTTTTCTCGGGTTTTTGTAAATTTACAGTTTTAATGACTTTATTTTTGCTTAGATATGTAAGCCGTTACCGAGCATGCTAGCAGAGGTTTTTTAGGAAATTTTACATTTTTTTTTGGAAAAGTAGGTTTCAATTTTTTAGATTGCTAGCTAGGTTTTTCAGACAATAATTTCGATCCGCATTTCAATCTGATTGGTGCAAATTTTAAATTTTTTTCAACTCGTTTCCGGTTTAGCTAGTTCAGCCGTTTGATGGCTAGCTAGCAGAGATTGCTTGGGAAATTTTAATGTTTTAGTAGAAAGTATGTTTCAACTATTTCATTCTTCAGCGCGTTTTATGTGGTGTTATTGTCATTAACGTGAAAATTACCGTTTGCAAAATTTTTTAGAATTTGAAATTTTTAATAGGAATATGTTATAGCTGTTTCATTGACAGGTCGTTTTTTGTAAAATTCTTGAGTTCTAGATAGGCAGGGCAAGCTAGCAGAGATTGTTTAGGACATTTTGAAATTTTTGAGAAGAAGGTAGGTTTCAATTATTCGCATTGTTAGCTGGGTTTTCGAAGAATTAATATATGTAACACAGGTGTTAGCAATCACCAATCTTGCGTTTTATAAAAACAGCTTTTTTTGCGAAGATTTATCATTCGCAGAATTTAGAGGTTTTGAATTTTAATAGTTGCATTTTTCGATTATTTCCATTGACAGCTTAGTTTTTGTAAAATTATTGAGCTGTAGATAAGCAGGGGTAGCTAGCAGAGATTGTTTGTGGAATTTTGTACGTTTTTTGGAAAAAGTACGTTTCGTATATTTCCATCATTAGCGCGGTGTTTGAAGAGTTAATATGCAAACAACTTGTCTGTTCGTTAGCCATCAAATTTTGCAGTGTATAGAAAGGAGTTTTTCGTCAAGACAGTTAAGCAAGAAGAGTTTGTTTTTGGAATTTTAGTTTTGTTAATGAAGGGATAAGGTTATTTTTGATTAGCCCTTCGTTATAATTTAAAATTTTTGATGTAAGTATGTTTCATCTATTTCCGTTTATGGATCCTGTTTTTGAAAAATACTGCCCTCTTCTCTTCTCTTCTTCTTTGATGCTTTATCTATTCCCCAATTTCCATAAATCCATTGACCTTTTGCAGTGTTTTTGCGGGGACAAAAAAGCCAATATATTCCTAGCGCCGAGTCCCCCCGCGCAAGATAATTACCCTCGGGGCTCGACGACCTCGTTGTGTGTGGCCACTTTTCCATTTCAAGCCATCTTATCCGGAATCTTCTGCGGGCACTCTCTCTCTCTCTCTCTCGCTCTCTCTCACTCTCTCTCTTTCTCGCTCTCTCTCTCTCTCGCTTTCTATCACTCTCTTTCAGTCACTCTCTCTCACTCTCTCGCGCTCTCTCTCTCAGTCACTCTCTCTCTCTCTCTCTCTCTGTCTCTCTCTCGCTCACTCACTCTCGCTCAGTTTCTCTCGCCTGGCTCGACTTTGCTAGTTTGCCTAAAAAGGTCGATTATTAAAGTAAATTCACTCATTGCTTGGCTCAGGCCCAATGCACGTCTATGCATTCCAGAATTGATTGTCACCTTGCTTCTTCACATTTTTGAAA